TCTCTCTCTCTCTCTCTCTCTCTCTCTCTTTACCCACCCCCTCCGTTTTGCCACCGTCCACGACAAGCGGAGGGGGGTGGGGCACGGGGTGGTGGTCCTATTGATTCGAAAAAGCGGCACGCAGAGCAGGGGAGTGGGGTGGCTGGGTGGGGGTGTGCCAAGTTAGGGATGGCCGTGCCGCGCGAGCTTGGGGGCGGGACCGGTGAGGTAGGCCATGCCGAGCTCTTGGACCTGCCGGTTCTAGTGCCGTTTAGGAACACGGGTAGCACGTCAGCTAACTTTAAACCTCTCGGAAACATACAGACAAACGGTCAGACCAATGGAGGCGAAATAATGACTATGCTTTCCGTCACAGGTATGGTTGTCTGCACTATATTCTAAATTCTAAACAGTAGATTTAGTATTTAGTATATATAATACATAGTATTTATGGCGTGCAGTGAGTCTTGGGGGAAGGGGGTGAATTTGTAATAGAGGCTGAAGGGGCACGAGAGCGAGAGAGAGAGAGAGAGAGAGAGAGAGAGAGAGAGAGAGAGAGAGAGAGAGAGAGAGGCGGGGGAGGAGAAGGAATGAAATAGGGCTGCCCGATGGATTGTGCTCGACGGCACTGGGGACGGTGCCAAGACGTCGAGGCAACGGATTGTGCTCCAGCAGCCGGCTCCGGCCGAGACTCAGCCGTTGGCCTCGGGAGAGGCCGGGAGAATAGACCCAAAAGCGATCGCAGACAATTATCACGCTAATAGCCGGAATGCCGGATCTTTAGGATGAGAATGTGAGGGGATGCAGCCGACCGGCTCTGGAAGTTAAATAGGACACGACCAGACAGCAGCTTGCTCAAGGCTTTAACTGGCGTGTAATTTCTTCTTCTTCTTCTTCTTCTTCTTCTTCTTCTTCTTCTTCTTCTTCTTCTTCTTCTCCTTCTTCTTCTTCTTCTTCTTCTTCTTCTTCTTCTTCTTCTTCTTCTTCTTCTTCTTCTTCTTCTAAATTCCACACTGTCTACCTTGTTCCAGGATTATCACCAACGGGCCAGGGTGCGCGTGGACGCCTCCGACGCATGGAGTGCAAATGTCACCCACACCGATAACACAACCCCACATGTGAGTATGAGCGGCGTGAGCCTCCCAGACTATTCCCAACTAAAAAGTATCGTAAACCCACGCGTGGGAATGGCGCACTCTAATAGCCGTGTGAACGCCAAGGAACAAGTCTGTAAATTTCAAAAGAGAATACTGTAAACTGGTCGACGTCTCATGACGCCAATATATTGGCGATAAAATACGTCAAGATTTGCCTTCATAAGATGCCACATTCTGGTGTCTTTTGACGACAAAATTTGGCGTCTTCCAAAAGGACGCCAATACTTGGCGTCAAAAGACGCCAAAATTTGGCATTCGTCAGAGGGCCCCAATATTTTGGCCTCATAAGACGCCAACCAATGTTCAGTGAATTAACACCTTTTTATCCTCAATGGCACATAGGTGCCTTCACACACTCACAAATTTGCGACATTCATACTCTAAATGTAAAGGTACAATTTTGTCCGTAGATTTGGAGCCGATTCGTGCACATCCAGAAAGGATGCAATTTTGTTCCTGACAAAATTGTGTAAAGTCTCACACAATTTGTCTAGCTTAGGAACAAAGTTGCACCCTTTCTGGATGTGCACGAATCGGTTCCAAATCTACGGACAAAATTGTCTCTTTAAATTTAGAGTGCACAATCTTGCAAGTGAGCAACATTCTCACTTACGCTATAAATGTATAGATATAACTCCGTACAAATATAAATAAATGTATAAATGTATACATTAAAAAAATTCTAATTGACGCTCAAATCTGTGCAAAAAATTTGATTGCTGTTATCCGTGCAAAATAAAAGATACACGTCGTCCAGTTAGTGTGCACTTACCGTTCTAGTGTGCCCACTAAAACATAGACAGCAAACTTGTGGTGTTTTCTTTTCAAACGAAATTTTAGGGAAACTTTCAGGAATCCCGTTTGAACTTTAGAAGTCTGATGATTTGGCTACTTCCACCATTCTTGAAAGGGAGCCACCTCTTCACGAGCGTTGTTCTCAAATTTTCAAATAATTTTGATAAAATCTTCAAGCAACACAAAACTACATCAACAACAAACAAAACAGAACGTGTATTTACCGTTCTTATTTAGTAGTTCACTACTTGCGAATCGAAAGCAATGTTGAATTGAACTGTCGACATGTTGTTTTTTAGTCCGTTACGACTCGTCGGTCTTCACACTGGCGATAACCATACGCCCGCCCCCCGCGCCCGCCCCCGCGCCAGCGCCCCTCCGTCGCACCCCTCGACGCGCTCATCGCTCCGATGCCCCCGCAAGCGTTCTGCGCCATTGCCTCCTAATTGAACAGCTGTCAGGGACAGGGCTACCGAGCCCTACGCCTACGCGCGTGAGTATATGTGTGAAGACAGACTCACAGAAGGGGAAAAGGGAGGAGGAGGCGGAGGAGGAGGAGGACGGGGTCAAGATGCACGAGGGAGGGAGTATCCCGTCGCGGTACCACGGTTGGCCGGAATGGCTCTGTGACGCGACTGAACTCCGTTACATTTTCGCCCCCCCCCCCCTCCCCAGACCCAGGAGGTATAAAAGCAAGCAGCTGTCGTAACTTAGCGTCCGGAATGGAACCTCAAAACTCCGAGGGAACACGAGGCTCGTACAGCAGCAGCAGGCTGGCGGGCCTGGCGGGCCCCACCCCTCGCCTGTCTCAGTGCCTCCCACTTCCCTCGGCCACCCCCGCGCTCTGCACTACTGGGGGGCTTCGCTGAGCCCGAGACAGGGGCACCCGCCTCGGCTCCTGGCAGACAGGCTGTTGTTGTCCCCCCCCCCGCTCCCCTCCTCTTTTACCACGGACCCGCCCCGCCCCAGCCGCGACTGCTGCTCCCCTCTCTTTCAGGGCCCTGGGTTGAATCAGACAATATGAGCAATGCTGGTCTGAGTCATTTCATGTCTGGGCCCTGGAGCCTCCCCTTCCTCTCCCCGCCCCAAAGCGTCCTCGCCCCCCCCCCCCCCTCGTCGCCCGCAGCAGTGGCTCCCCCGGCTACGCGGCTCAGTCGGTCGCAGTCCACGGGGGGCGATAACTCGGCGTGGAACCCCGACTAACGGACGACTTGTGCCAATATGTGTTGCAGGTGAATGCAGAGAGCCAGGCACCGCCCCGCGGGCCGCTCCCCGCCGCCACCCTGGACTCCATCCTCAAGGTACGTACGCGGCTCGGCAGCAGGAGGGCTCCGCAACTTATCATAGGAATGCTTGTTACTCAACGTAATAAAACAAATGTCAAACTAGAAGTTAAAGTTATCGATTTTGAAATATGTCCGATTTTCAACGAACATACTGTGGAAAATAGTTGGACAAGTCAAAAACTACCTTATGGTCACAGAACTACAGTAGACGTAACAAGTTATAACTTTAACTCCTAAAATAACGTTAGACAGTTAAGTAATAAGTTACGGAGCCCTGATGGTTTATTTGCCCGACTTCCGGTGCCAATCTCGGGTACAGTATTTAAAATTTAAGTGTTCTGCTTACCTCATTGAAGGCGAAACACGACAATTTGGGGGACTGTATCGGAGATTGGCACCGGAAGTCGAACAGCCCAGGCAGCACTCCGATCGCCCTCCAGGGCGGGCCAGCCGCGGCTAGCCGGACCCGTGTGTAGCCGACGTGTAACGCGCTGATTGACTCGTCCATCTCGGCAGGGAAAGTGAGGGGGAGGGGGAGAGGGGCATTAGAGTTAGCCGTGCTGACATGTAGCAGATTGACTGACTCGGCCACCTGTTGGGCCGGGAGCTTTACTACCCCTTTCCTTTTTATTTGTTTTGATTGCGAGATAGCAGTGGCTGGCTCGGTTTGGGGGGTGCGTGGCTTGGAGCGTGCGCCAGCGGGCCTGAGTAAGCGTGCGGCTCAAAGTCCTGAGGGGTATGCAGGCCGACGCAGCCGCAGCCCCTCCCCGGTCCGGGTGGTAGTGGTGGCGTCCATGGCGGTGACGATGATCGGTTTCTTCTGTTTTTTTCTTCCCTGCAGCAAATGCGCGAGGCCGAGGAGCGGCGCAAAGACCTTGAACGCCAGCACGCTGACACCTTGCGACAACTGCGCCTGAAGCAGTCCGAAGTCCAGAACCCCAATGCCGCCCTGTCCTCTGCGAGCCATGGGCAGCCCGGCGGCTACGGAGGGGGTGGCGGGGCCGGCGGACCGGGGCCTGGGCCGAGCCAAGGGCCCGGCGGCCCCGTGTCCATGCCCATGTCGGGGAGCTTGTCCGGACCCACGTGCGCCGCACCGGGGCCGGACAGGGGCTCTGCCATGGAGACCATCGAGGCCCTCCAGGTAGGTCGAACCCAGTCCAACCGCCCTCGCGTTGTGAGAGCCACAGAGCGTCATGATTTTAAGTACAGCGTGTATCACAGCGGACGCTGCAGGTTTGTGGGATTGCATACCCTCTTTGGGCCGTATTGGCCACGGAGCCTTACGGAGTCGGCAAACCCAGTGTCCGCCCGCTCTGATACATCCGGTCATACGAGCAGAAAAATATGAACAGCCGTAAAACTATGTTGTGCTCTCTAGTCTAAGATCCGGGAACTGGAGAAGAAGACCGAGCTCCAGAACGTCCGGCACGAGGAGTTGCTGCTGGAGATGGCGTCGATCAAGCGGTCCGGGCCCGCGGGGAGCGGGTCGGGGTCCGGGCCGGGGCCCTCTGGGGCCTCGGGTCCGATAGGCGGCTCGGCCGGGCCGTCGGGGTCCGGGGCGCCGGGGGCCTCCGCTGCTGGCAGCGGCTGCAGCTCGTCCGGCTACTCGGACCCCAAGGGCGTCTCCCTCGACTACCGCTCCTACTTCGGCGACTCGGCCTCCACCTGCTCGTCGCCCGCCACCGGTAGGCATTGCCAGCTGCTGAAAGACGTGTTTCTTGTTTCTTTACCCGACATGAGAAACACATTTTTCGGGAAGAGGCGTGTAGGTTTTGTCTGTCGAATGAGTCCTTCGATTCGCCAGAGAGCCCGGATCCGGCTCTGCCCCATGGGATACAAGGTGCCGCGCACGTCCGCACTCTTGCTTGAGAAAAGTTCGCGGTAACAGGAATGCACGCGTGACTGAAATCGGCTAAACTCGAGCTTCAGCGGTTTTGGAACATGTGCATTTATTTTGCTTCTTATTGAAGATTTGTTGGCCATCAGCTTCATTACTTAACCCATGCGAGTACGAATTGCATTTGGTCAAACATTTGTGTATATCTTGCATGGATTTGGTCTTCACAAGTGCTGTGCAGTCTGCACATGTTCATGTCATGTTTTTTCACATGACGCTGTTTTCAAAACTTAAAAAGACTTGAAACAAACCGTACGCTCACACACAGTATGCAATGTAGTTAGTGTTGCAAACAACGATTGCATTTATTTTGGTGTGGTTGACTGTCTGACACTGTCTAACACTGAACCGATTACACATAAACTTGATACGCAAGTCGTGACGCCAAGACCCCGCGGTACGAGCCTTGTCTTGTGTTTGGCTTTCATGGTCATGTCATGAGAAAAATTGCGGTAATTTAAGCTTACTTACGACAGTAGATGTTTATTACGTAGTTTACTTGGCAATTTCAACACCGGAGCTTATCGTCAAGGGTCTTGGCGATGTGTGGTGACTGTAGTCAGGTTGATTGCCGGTGCTTGTTCGACTGCTTTGTCCGCCTCGTCACTTGAGCTTTCTAGCACTGCTTTGGCACCTTGCTCAGGTTTTGTGCCGTACGGCGGGGGCCGCCAGCTCGCCGGCCACCTCCCTTTGGGGCAGAGCCTCGGCCACCAGAGCCAGGGCCTGGGCCACCAGGGCCTCGCCCACCAAGGGCAAGGCCAGCACGACCAGCACCTGGGCTATCAAGGTCAGCACCAAGGCCAGCCGCTAGGCCAGCACCAGGGTCAGCACCAGGGTCAGCACCAGGGCCAGCACTATGGCCAGCACCATGGTCACCATCAGGGGCACCACCATGGCCACCACGGCTCAGGCATGTACACCCGGCCCACAGATCTGACGACGAGGCCGCACTCGCCGCCAACGGCCTCCACCAACGCGGCCTCCAACACGGCATCCAAAGCGCCGGCGTCCAGCGTCGAGATCGACCGCATCATGGCCAAGATAGAGCAGGACAACCGCATCCTGGCCGAGCTGGACAAGACGAGATCGACCATCGGTAAGCTCTCCCGCCCTGAGCCGCAGGATCCGCCGAGGTCCTGCTGTTCAGAGGCCTCCTCCAGTAGAGATTAGGAAGCACCACGGGATGGCCTCTGCCGACCCTCCTGGTCCTCCGGGTCCTCCGGGTCCTCCGGTCTACTGACGTTAGCACTATCTCTACTGCCCAGTACACTGCCCGTATGCCCTGATCAGTCATGTGCATCTCACGGGCAGGCGGCGTGTCGGCGCCGTGCTGCCGGTTGATGTTAGCGTTGACGGCATGCGTGTTAGCTCGACACGGCTCGTGGTCGGCAGGGTGCATATCCCGCATGACGATCGATCTGAAAGAGTTCGACCCCTCCCCCACTCCAAAATGGATCGGCCGAGTTGTCGCGTTGTGTAAAACCGGGACCCCATGCGCTGTTTTGTGTATTTGTTTTTCGTTTGGTTCTGTTCTTTATATTCTAATGACTCACTCGGCCGACCCGCATTCCAATACTATACATGTTGTCGGGGAGAGAGCAGTTTCGGTGACGCAGTCTCTGTTGTTGGAGCAGGCGGACGCAACCCGGGCGGCAGCAGGCAGGCCCAGGCCCTGAGGGCGGTGGAGGTGGCCATCACCCCGGCCTCCTCGCCCTCCCCGCCGCC